AAAAAAAAAAAAAAAAAAAATACTTAATAAAAGTTTAAACAATTTTGAAAATATTATTCAGTTAGCAAGTATAATTTATTCACTCCAGATATTTTTTGTCATAACATCTCTTGTTTAAATATAAATAGAAAAATACTTCAAAATTATTGTAGAAAAAAATAATATAACGTCATTACAATCAAATATTAAAAATAACATTTTCGTTTGATGATATATAATTGTGTAATTTATTATCACGTCTGTACTATTTTTTTTTATAGTTTTGTTTTGATTTTGCATAATTAACTTAAAGCTGGCATAAAAATCAATAAAAGTTAAAAGCTCAAAAATAAATTTATATGTTGTGGTATTTTCTAAATACCTTTATTAAGGCGTGCCACATAAAAATTGTGTTTGTTAATTCTATCAACACTTAAAGTAGGAAAAGAATCCGTTAAAATAAAAATAAAAATCAACCATAATTAGACAATAAAGTTCAAGATAAATAAACTGATTTATAACTGATTGTAATTAATCTGATGAGATACTTAAAATAAATAAATATCCTAATATTATTGATATATGAGAATCTCTAAGAAACCTAATACAAGCATAAGCGTAAATCATAGGAGGGCTTAATCACCTCAAATATTGCCGTTGCACTCCTCTATTTCTTTTTTTATTATATGACATTTATATAAAAATAATTTAGGGGAGGTAAAAATCAATTTATTCTCTGCAAATTTTTTTATAAATTTAAGTCTACTATTACAAGACTAATTAATTTTAACAGGAAAAAGATGAAAGCTTATATAACTATATTTAACTCAAAGAGCCCTTATAAATTATTACAAAAAAAAACTTTCGAATTAATAATTTTAAAATAATTATATGAAAATAGCAATAATTAATAGCAAATATAAATTTGTATAATTATGATTCAATAGTTAATTATTAATATTTCATTATATATTTAACGTATGGTAAAGTTAAACATGTCAACATTTTATTATGTAAAAATCTTTCAAAAAAAAAAAATTTTTATTCTCTAATATAATTATTATATTAGATAATAAATTAACCAGTTTAAAAATTAACTTAGTTTACAGGTTTATGTTGTTATAACCCTGACAGCGGTACAACCCATGAGAATGTTAACCAAGTTTTCTTTTGCTATAAATATTATAAAAATTAGAAATTTGTATTGAAATGAGGACATCAAAATTTATCAAAAAGCAGCTTTTAAATTGAAAGGGCACCGTTAAATTCACTTTGAAATTCCTTATGGTTAAGTTGTACCACTGGACCCTTTAGACTACCTAAATGAATATTTTTACTGAAAGAGATTCTGTTAAATTTTACAAATATGTTATTTTAGCAAATGATGTCATAAATGTGTTGTCGAAAAAAAATTTTTAAGCCATAATACTAAGATACCAATGATTCATGTTTTAACAAACTATACAGGTTGTTTTATACAGATTGCATGGATTACGACAGTTGTTGTACAATTACTCATTGAGTTATAAGCATTTTAATACTATGAGTGAGTATGGAACGCTAACGTAATGTACATAAATCTTTACAGGCAATACTAGCCCACACTACATACCGATTCAATGTATTAAAATGCAATTAATTCATTGAGTACTTTGTCCTAAAATTATCATTAAATTTTTTTGTAATATTAGAGCTAAAAAGAACCATTTTTAATTTTGAAGAAACAAAAATAAATACAATTTTCAGCGTGCTTAGATAAAATAACAATATCAGTCATAATCAATATAAAATAACATTATCAACATTTTCATTTAGGAGTCTATTTATATTTTTCAGGAGTGTAGCCCTTTCTGTACCACACTGAGACCGAAATAAATCACTAAATATTTTTAGAATTTCATGCAATACACATCAAAATGTGTATTATCATAACACATAAAAATAGGACCAACAAAAAATATCTAGTTAATAACATTTTTTTTTTGTCCTTAACATTATATTTTTGTTTTTATCTAATAATACTAAAAACGAATCACGTTTTTCTATTGTTCAAGATTTACAAAGTTGTGTGTTATTTTAATTTGACAATTTAATTAGATGTTTAAATAAAATTTTTTATTATAACTATGTTCAATTCAATAAATTATAAATAAATAAACTTTAAGTCAAATAAGTTAGTGAAGTAAATGCAATTAATATAACTAACACTATTTTTAGGTTTCTAAGGGTAGCTGTCAGGCAGTTTTATTGTCACTTAAAAAATAAATTAATGATATACGGTTTTTTTTTAATGATTCTACATTTTTAGAAATAAAAATCTTGTTAAAGCATGCAAATAATTTTTGATTGATTATTATTTATTTATTATAAAAATAAAATTATTTTTCAGACTAAAAAAATTATAACAGTATTTCTATGCTCTCGTTACACACAAAAATTGAAAAAATTAAATTTTTTCAACTTAAATTGTGAAAAATTTACTATTTTAAAATTAAAAAGAATACTGCGTCCTTTACACATATGTCAAATTAAATCTTATGTTACATACTATAAATTAAAAAAACAACATTTATCCTGTCGACTTGTCTTCTCCGTGCAAATGGCTACCGTATTTAAAAACATGCTATTTTTGTATTCACAT